AACCCACCAGCCACTCCTTGGAAACCCTATACAGGGTCACTATGAGTCAGTGGCACTTATATGGCACTTCACAACAACCACAACATCAAAGGAACATTCCAACATACACTGAGCCATTCCCTTAGGTTTGAATATTTAGATTGCTTCACTTTTTTTTTTTTGTAAGGAACTTTGGTGGTGATGGTTAAACACTGGGTTACTGATAGAAAGGATAAAAGATAAGAGTCTGCTTCTATAAAGTCTTCAGCCCTGGAAACTGTGGGGCAGTTCTAATAGGATTACTTTGAATTGAAATCAACTGAACAACAACCAGTTTGGTTCTTTCTTTAATATTTTTGCTGTCCTGTGCAACTCCACAATTTGGAACATCCTTTTTCCCCCCCTATGACTAGCATTGTTTTCTTAAGATACAGCCCAAGATTTGAAATTTCTGCATCAAAAAATATGAGTGCCTACGAGCTGTTGCCAAATCACCTTTCTGGAGTGGCCACTGTTGACTCTATTCCCTACTTCCTGCACCAGCACGGGGGCTCTTTCCAGCTTTAAATGTTTACTAATTTAAAGTGTTGAAGAGCAAAGATGTCAGCTTGAAGACGAAGGTGCGCCTGACCCAAGCCATAGTATTTTCAATAACCTCATATGCATGCGAAAGCCGGACAGTGAATAAGGAAGACCGTAGAAGAATTGACGCTTTTGAGTTACGGTGTTGGAGGAGAATATTGAAAATGCCATGGGCTGCCAAAAGAACCAATAGATCTGTGTTGGAAGAAATGCAGCCAGAGTGCTCCTTGGAGGCCTGAATGGCCAAACTTCGTCTCTCATACTTGGGACATATTGTCAAGAGGGACCAGTCACTGGAGAAGGATATCATGTTTAGTAAGGTGGAGGGTCATAGAAAAAGAGGAAGACCCCCAGCGAGATGGATTGGCCAAGTGGCAGCATCGATGGACTCAAGAGTGGCAACAATAGTGAGGTTGGCCCAGGATCGGGCAGTGTTTCGTTCTGCTGTACATAAGGTCACTATGAGTCGGTACCAACCCGATGGCACCTAACAACAACAACAATTCTGTGGGAGAAAGTTGTCTCTGTCTCCCTCTACCTTATATGTTCACGATTCCTGGTGATGGGACTACTTCCTTGTCTATTGACCATCTTCTCATTTGGGCATCACTTTGCCTATTTGCAATCTTACCTTTTCCTCCCACTATCTTCTTCAGCCCACCCCATGTGTGTTCATTCCTATCTTTGGTTTTGCCTCTTTCCACATCTCTGTGCCGGCCCCTCCATCTCTGGGAGCACCCCTGGGTAACACTACTTTTCACCTTTATTTAGCCCTTCCCCCCCACTTAGCCCACCCGTGTGCCCTCCCCACCCCCCAGCACCCTCCTAAGCTTCCTGTCATTGCCCCTGCCTGATCGTCCCTATGGCTGTGACTCCTCAGGACACACCTCCTGGGAACAGCATCTTTAAGGTCCGTGCGTTGGACAGGGACACCGGCTCTGGAGGGAGTGTCACCTACTTCTTGCAGGTAAGCTGGGACATACCCAGAGGCCCCAGGCTAGAGGGGACATCAGACAGCCTTACCTCCATTGTCAAAGCCCTTTGGTCAAAGATTTCCAGGATGCCACATGTGGTCCTAAAGGGTCTCAGGAACACATGGGTAGGGCGCACAGGTGGGATCAAACCACAGGTCTGGAACAAAAGCCTTTTTCCTCTGACTGGTCCACCTGGGAAGTCTTTCAGGTGGTCTGCTTCTTCTCTCTCTCCAGATCTCCCAGACCCCCAACCCCTTCCTCAGGAGAAGGCCAAGGACTTTGTACCCACTCAGGGTGGATAGAACCTGCGTGGGTCTAGAACAGCCAACAAGAAAAAGAACAGAGGGGACAAATGTCATAAAGGGCCAGGGCCCAACCCATCTCTCCCTAAGCTTGGCTTCCTTTCTGGCCCCTCCCCAGAACTAGCTTCACTGCCTCATTGGTGCTTGTTTCTATGATATTCACTCTTCTCTTCACATCTAATCTCCTGCACATACAACGTTCAAAGTTGTATAGCTACAAACACAAGCTTTGGCCAAATCCCCTGGAACCCAGGAGCTCTGGAGAGACCCGCCACATACCATTCGTGTGACCTTTGAGACGTTATTTGATTTCCTAGAGCACTTTCCTCATGTGCAAAAGGGAAATCACAATAGTACCTCCTTGCTGGGCTGTTGTGAGAAGTAAATACACACAAAGCATCTATAACTGCATCCGGCCCACAATGACCTGCCTAGCTGAGGGGCCTTTCTGAGCTCCCTGTCCATTCCACCTCCCAAAGGTGCTCCTCACCTGCCTTCCTCAGACTTCCAGATCATCTCCTGAGCCTCCCCCTTGATGCTGTGGTGGATAGAACTATAGCCACTTCAAGATGCAGTATAGAGACCCGAAAGCTTTCCTCCTGCACTCTGACTCTCAGCTCCTGCCCTTCCTTCCAGTCTAGCGCTCTTTGTTGATACGCAGACATTTGGAAACTTAGCCCAAAGCTGAGCCTAATTTTTTTTCCCAGCGGAGAGAGGAGATGAGAATGTACTGGAAAGGAATACTCCTGGTGTTGAGTTGGGAAGTAACAGGGGAAGCCTAGACTCCCATGGAAGGGGACCCATGGGATCAGAAAAGTGAGGACCCCTCTTGGGTAAGCACAGTGGGTGACCTCAGAAACCCACCCTGTCCTTACCCTTGCAGAACTCACGTGCCACCAAATTTTCCATGGACCGCCACAGTGGTGTGCTTCGCCTGAGGGCAGGGACCACTCTGGACTATGAAAAGGCCCGGACTCACTTTGTCACAGTGGTTGCCAAGGTAACAGATAGGGTTAGTTGGGAAAGCAGTCTATCAGGAGATGCGGACCTTGTACTGGAACACAGGATGGGGGCAATTTGGAGAGCAAGTGGGGGAGCAGCTGCTGGGGGTCTCTGTGGGGCTTGCTGGTCAGGACACTCTTGTCCCCTCATGCCCCCATGATCTGGCCCTTGGTGACTCTATCTCCCTTGTCAAACTGTTCACCCTACTGCCTCCTGTCTGCGTGGCTAGTTACCTACCTGAGCCTCAGTTTCCTTCTCTGTAACGTATGGAAACACTGCCCTGTCCTGTGGCTTCACTAAGCCCCTGGTAATTCTAAAGGGATGGGTGTGGGATTGGAGCTTCCTTCGTGGCTGTTCAAGTCAGGTGGTCTCTCTCCTCCAAGAGCAGCCATTCCTCTGGGCCAAGAGTTCTCTCTTGTGGGAAGGCCACACAGGAGTTCTGAGCTGCACCCCACCCATCTCATTACTCTGGGCATCTTGGCTGTCCACGCCTGTGCTGGACGTCTATCACAAACTCTCGGGATACCAGACCAGTCAGACCCTAGGAAGGTTTCCCCACCTCCAGTTTGTACATAGTAGATCTTCTAGAGGTGTTTGAGGCTTGGTTCCTCAAGACGGTAAGGTGGGAATGTGGCTCTGACCCTTGTCCTCAAAGACAAGCAACGTTTCCAAAGGCATTGACCTCACTGGCCACTAAACATCAGCTCTTTTAGTGTCTCCATCCCCATCCCCATCAGGTGAGAATCATTTCCAATTTACCCAGAAGCAGACAGAAAGACAAAGAGGGTGGCAGCTTCACAGCCAATGTCTAAAGCTAGATTTTAACTCTAAGCCCAACTCCCAAGCAAGCTCCTCTTACTCTCCGCTCTTGCTCCAGGATGGCGGAGGGAGACTTCGGGGGGCTAACGTCGTGTTTTCAGCCACTACCACCATCACAGTCAGGGTGGAAGACGTCCAGGACACCGCCCCTGTCTTCGTGGGCATGCCGTACTATGGCTATGTCTATGAGGACAGCCTTCCGGTGAGTAGCTGTGCCTCTCAGCCCACTATCCCCCGGCAGAGGCTTCCCTACCCTGTCCCCACATTTCCCAGGATCCTCAGGGCTCAGCCCTGAATATGGAGGAAGAGTCACACACTAGTGTCTGCAGCAGGTGTTGGTGTAAGGAGTGGCCAGGCATGCCTCCCTCTCTCAAACCTGCCGCAGCCCAGTAGCCAGCACGGACACCAGAGGGCCCAGTGAGGCTGGCAGCTAAGAGGCTCAGATTGGGTCAGTGGCTTCCTTACTTCACTACTTCACGTCAGTCATAGGCTGTGGTCCCCTAAGGATGAGGTTCTATGTGCCTCCCAGTTCCAGATCTGCTAGGCCATTCAGATGAACCATTCTCCAGTGATGTGTGGCCTGAACCCCGGCAACCCCCAAGACACGCACTTGTCCACCTCCACCCCACCTCCTGCAGGCTCTGCTCAGAAGGTTGGCCTCAACTTCCCTCCCCATTCAGTGCAAATCTTGGCTCCTACTCCTATCTTCAGACACTCCAGAATTCACAAACTCCACGCCTCAGCCTGGCATCCAAGGCACAGCCCCTCCCCACTCTGGAGCCCTCGTGACCTGCCTTGCATCCCACTGTCTTGGCACACTGCCCTTGTCCCTACCTAAAGGTGTTCTGGCGTCCCTGCCCTTCTGAACCCACTTCAGCCTCCTCCGCCCCTAGCATCTTTGAGTTGGGAGTTCCCCAGCTTTGCTTCCAGGTGCTCTTTTCACACACACCTCTCTGAGCATGGCCACCTTAGGGTACAGCCCTATGCCCTCCTCCAATGAGACTGAAAGTCCCCAAGGGCAGAGACAGGATGAAACTACCCAGTGCTTTCAGGCCACACCCAGACCTCACCTGACTGAACCTCGGCATTCTCCGTGGACTGCAGAGACTTTCTTAACTTTCCCTTAAGCTATTTCAGACTTGATAGAACAATTAAAAATTGACTAAGGTCCATCCCATATGCTGGAACATGCTGAGATACACCCCTTCCCAGAAGCTGACAGCCTAGTGAGCAAGAGGAGAGCTTCTGGGCCATCAGGGGCTATAGGTAGGGAGCTGGGAGCTAAGAACTAAAAAGAGAATTTGGGGACAGGCTTCCTGAAAGAAAAGTAGCACTCGGACCACGTGGCACCCCTGCCAAAACCCTTTGAACAGAATCCCAGACCCCATAAACTAAAACCCTAATTCTTGCACTTTGCATTTGAGGCCCTCTCTGGCTTAACTCTCCTCTGATCCACATCCTCCGCCCTGTTCATGGACCTCTGGGGTAGAATGTAGACCAAGACTGGAGAGCCCAGAGACTGGAGAGAACTGAGTGTGGCGTGGGGAGAGAGAGGCTGGGGGTGCCCCTAGACAGCCCACGTGTCCAGCTTATATCAGGGAGAAAGCAGCAGGAGCCTGGCAGGCTCTCTATAGCCCAGAGCTCCCAACAGAGTGGGTAGGCCATGTTCCTGCTGCCACGCTGTCCAGTGATGGGGCAGTCTCTCGGGAGGCTGGTGCCCAGCTCTACCCACCAGCCTCAGCAGCTGCTCTTGCTCCCTAGGGCTCAGAGGTGCTGACCGTGATGGCCATGGATGGAGATGGGGGCAAACCCAACCACATTCTCTATAGCCTTGTAAATGGTGAGTCTGGTGGCTTACATTGCTGCTCTGATTCCGGGTGACCAGAGGGAGGTCCCATGTCTTGGGGTAGAATCTGAAGTTTCGGTGCAAGAAGAGGAGGGATCGGGTCCTTCTAGGCAGCATTGAGTCTTCTGGGGTGTGTGCCCCCACCACTTGCCATTGTGTCCAGCAATAGGGAGGGTTGTATGGGACCTAGACTGAGTCAGGGGGACAGGTGCGTGGGCCCCTTTAGCCTGGGCATACACACACTTGAAAGCAGGCAGCAAAATTTTCTACATTTTAAATTGCTACTTTTATTCTTTTTAATGTTTTGGCCTAGAGCAAAGAGCTGAATTAATTCAGTGGTGGCGTGCCATCCTCCTAGTCTAAGCGCTGTATGTGGATGAGAAAACTAAGGCTCAGAGACACAAAACGGGCATCCCAAATCCCCAACACGGGATTTGAACCTAAGTTTACTGACTTCAGAGTCCATGCTCTTTCCACAACTAGGTAGCAACTGAGCAGGCTGAACCATTCCTGGTGTCAAGCTGTCACATCTGGTACCGGATCCCAGACCTGTGTCTGCCTGTATGCTCCACCAAGACCCACTGAGTATTGGACCCTGTCTTCAGGACATGCCTGGGGCTCACGGCTCTTCCAGTTGCTCACACTGGAACAAACCCACCATTACATAAGACTCCTTTCCCTGGACACACAGACCCTGAATGGCTCCCCTCCCCTTCACTGCAAAACTGTATATCATTACAAATCATCCACGCCACCTCCCTCTCTCCCCCTCCTTCTCTGCTGTCCTCTTCTCTCCTTTCTCTCTCTTTCTCATCTCTTCCAGTCTCCTTTCTCTTCCCTTGCCCCCCTCACTTTCTTCTCTTCTTCTTCATTCTCTCTCTCTGTATCTCTCTCCTTTTCTCTTTCACACACACACACACACACACACACACACACACACACACAAGAGAAGTAAAGCAGTATGGAACTTGAGAGCTAGGCAGAAATGACTTCAAGACTCAGCCCTGCATTTACTGTCTAATCTTAATTTCTTAACCTCGCTGAGACTCAGTTTCCGCATTCACAAAGCCAGGACTATAGTATTGCACTCTACAGAGGAAACTGATGAGCTAGCTAATGAATGCATAGAGAGCAGGTGACACCTGACCCGGCATAGCTCCCTTCCGCCCCCTGTGGTCATGTGCGGAACTGCAGAGTGCATCTGATCTGTGACAGGGAGCGATGGAGCCTTTGAAATTAATGAGACGTCTGGAGCCATTTCTGTCACACAGAACCCTGCCCAGCTCCGGAGAGAGGTGTATGAGCTGCATATACAGGTATCCTCCCTCTGGCTTGCCCTTTGAGCCACCCCATCCCTACCTCCTGGCCAGGCTCTCTTCCTTGGGCCTTGGCAGCTTCCCCTTCCTAGAAAACCCTGGCGTCCTGGTGTGGCGCTGAGGGTTAATGCGCGGTACTGCCAAGTCGGTTTAATCTGCAAGGTCGGTGGTTCAGGCTCACCGGAAACCTTATACAGGATCGCCATGTGTTGGAACCGACTGGATAGCACTAACAACAAGTGCATGACAGTTCCACTTCCAACTCCTAGCTCCCTCAGTGAGCTCCACTCTGTTCAGGAAGCCCACCTGGCCCTGGAGGATCCCTTGGGTCTGGATCTCATAGTCTGGGGAGGGACTAGCTGTTGCCCCAGAAGCACCTACATCAGGTGCCTATGTGGAGGCTACACGGGTACACACCAAACCCCTGGAGGGGGTAGGTGAGATTTTACAGCCGGAGAGTTCTGAAGAGGCAGGAGCAGTGGGACTGAAGCGTGCCCTGAGCATGCAGGACCACACGGGTCCAGCAGCTGGTGGGATAGAAACCTTCCAGCCATGAGAACCAAGAGTCCAAGCTGAGGCATCAAGAGCCAGCAGGACTGGAGCAGAGTCCATGGTGGTGTGTAGAAGGGAATGAACACTCTGCCCTGTACCCAGAGCATGCAATCTCCACACAGGAGCAACCCGCACTAGACCAACTGCTCTGCTGTAACCATCTTGACAGTCTTAATATTTGAACAAAGGGCCCATCACTTTCAATACACACTGGACCTGCCCAAAAGCAACCAAGAACCACTGAAAGGTTTTCAGCAGGATTAAAATCACATGGTAGAAAGTTCATTCTGACTGCTGACCAGGCCCGTGGAGTTCCCAGATTTGAAGAGCTTTATACATAATCATTTCTAGGACCTATGCTGAGAAATAATGATTTACTGTGTTTGGGGAAAGGCCAGGCTCCCAGGTGATCCTGGTACCAGTCCCAACCTAGTGGTGGTGGTGGTGTGCTGTGGAGTCAGTTCCAACTCATAGCGACCCTGTATAGGGTTTCTGAGGCTGTAAATCCTTACAGTAGCAAAAAGCCTCATCTTTCTCCCGCAGAACAGTTGGTAATTTCAAACTGCTGACTGTGAGATTAGCAGCCCGGCTCATAACCATGTACTATGGAATTGGTTCCAACTCATAGTGACCCTGCACAGGGTTTCCGAGGCTGTAAATCTTTACAGGAGCAGAAAGCCTCATCTTTCTCCCGCGAAACAGCTGGTAGTTTCAAACTGCCTACTGTAGCGTAGTGGTTACGAATCGGGCTGCGAACCTTAAGGTCAGTGGTTCGAAACTACCAGCCGCTCCGCGGGAGAAAGATGAGGCTTTCTACTCCCGTAAGGATTTACACCCTCGGAAACCCTGTACAGGGTCGCTATGGGTCGGCTCCGACTCGAAGGCACTTAACAACAACAACAACAACCTTGAAGTTAGCAGCCCAATTTGTAACCACTACGCTACCAGAGCTCCTTACAGTTTAGCATTATCCAGACTAGAATGTGGAAAGAACCGACTGGCCATCAGGAGGCGGTGCTGTTGATCAAGGGGACAGATCAAGAGGGCTTATAGGGGTGAGGGGAGGAGGAATGGCCGAAATGGACAATTTGAAAAACATGAAGGAGGCAGACTCCAGAGGAAATGCAGTCGGCTGCAGGTGAAGGGTAGGAGCAGGGAGAGGGAAGCTAGCTGGTGCCTGTGGTTGGAAACACTGGAGGGAAGGAAGGTGTGGTGAATGGCAATGTGTTGTTTCAGCAACATCCAAATTTGGATATGTAAGTTCAGAACTTGGGAGAGTAATTAGGTTAGAACACAGATAGCAGGAATGCCACAGGAGAAGGTGAGGTCATCCAGAGGAGGGCTATAGGGAGAGAGGAGCTGTTAGCCCAGCTCACAGCTGTGAGGGGCATCAGAGCTGAAGAGGGGAGTAAAAGAAAATAGAACCACACCGGTCAAGGGAATGGAGTCCTTAAGAAGGCAAAAGAGGGGGGGGGGCATGCAAAAGCAGTGTGGACATCGGTGCTCTCCACTGAGTTAGGGGTGTCAGAACTAAGTGGGATACAGCAAGTGGAAATGGCAGTTACAGGCTTCTGAGAAGGCAGAGTGGTATGGGGAAGCATCATACTTCTCAAAAGGAAGATCCTTTGAGGATAAGTAAGACCAGCGCAAACTTGCAAAACAAGGGAAAAGGAGGCTCTTCAAGAGGGGCTGGTGGCCTCCCATAGAGAAAGTACATATGGACTCTAAGTTCAGGTTGCAGAAAGGTAACAGCTTGAAGAACCACACTTAAACCATTTTCTGTGGGTTCAAGGTCTAGATCTAGGCCCAGCTTAGCAAGCTCAGGGTCATTCACCTAGCTGCAATCAAATTGTCAGGCAGGTCTTGGGTCTCATCTGAAGGCTCGACTGGGGAAAGTTTCATTGCTAAATTCACTCACATGACTGTGAGCAAGACTCAGCACTTTGTGCGTTGTTGGGTGAAGAGCCTCAGTTTCTTGCTGGCAGTTGGTTAGAGATCACAGTTCCTTGTCACTGGGGCTCTCAAGTCGATGCCAGCAAAGGAAGGTGCAGTCTCTGGTAGCTTGATCCCAAAGTGAGGAGTTCATCGTCTTCGCCACATTCTATTGGTCAGAAACAAGTTGCTAAGCCTGCCCCCTTTTAAGGAGAGAGGACTACACAAATACCAGAAGTGGGACCATCGGGGCATCTTGGAGTCTCCCGTCACAAATTCATAGCCCCTGTCCCCATCCAGGTGACTGAGGTCAGCTCTGCAGGCCTCCCAGCTGCCCATTCCATGGCCCCAGTCACCATCAGGATCGTGGACCTCAACAACCACCCCCCAACATTCTACGGAGAGACTGGACCCCAGAACAGGTTTGAGCTGTCCATGTTTGAGCACCCGCCCCAGGGAGAGATCTTGCGGGGCCTCAAGATCACTGTTAATGACTCTGACCAGGTACGTTGTCCTGCCCTTTACCCTGCCTGCCCATAGTCTGCTCAGAGCCCAACACAACCCGATTCTGGATTCTGCGTCAGGCTTGTCACAGGGGCCAGGCAGGTAACAACAATGGAGGGAGCGAGAGGGGCTAGCCAAGAGAGGTGGGACGGCAGCTAATCAAATCCTCCATTTACCTTAAAGGTATTTGTAATCAATTAGAAAAGAAAAGCTTAAAGGTATTTGTAATCAATTAGAATCATCTGGCCCATAGAGTAGGAGTTTGTGGGTACATCCAGTCACCCTCTCAGCCTGGCACAGGGTCTAGTATGTGTTTATTAATTTGCGTACTGCTTATCGCTGGCTAGGAGATTGGTAACCTTAAACATCTTCATCACTGGTGAGGAGCCTTGTTCCCTTTACCTGTAGAAAGAGGCAGTAATGCTGACCTCCCAGGGTTAAGGTTATATGAAGGCAGGAAGCTTAGTACAAATACATAATTAATTTATACTCACATTTATTTCTCCTATTTCTCTTTCCAAACTCTATTGTCCAGGGAGCCAATGCCAAATTTAATTTGCGATTGGTGGGACCTGGGGGCATCTTCCGAGTGGTACCCCAGACAGTGCTGAATGAAGCCCAAGTCACCATCATCGTGGAGAATTCAGCCGCTATTGACTTTGAAAAATCCACAGTGCTAACCTTCAAGGTAGGTGGAGCTGTGCACTTCCCTCAGGGGGCCCCGGAGCTCAGACCAGTGGCTGGATTCATTCCTAGGAGATCCCTCTTACTCTAGGCTCCTCCTGGTCCTAATCCTGCCCCTGTGTCTTCTGCTGCAGCCAATTTGGGGAGCAGGAGAAGGGAGAGGAAGAAGGGGATTAGACAGAGCCTCATGGAGTTCCTCAGCTCCTAAACCACCACAATCCACAAGAACACAAGGGAGGGTCCGAGGAGCACTATTAACAGAATTTAATAGGTTAAGAGAGAAAAAACTATTTACTTATCAGGATGGTTGTTTTCTCATATGCCTTTTTTTCCAGCTGTTAAAATGCATGTTTAATTCATGGGTTACATTATACCAAGTTAAGATGGAGACCATGCCAAGAGAAAAACAGAATCACAGAAGGCCCAGGATTTTAGTTAGAGTCAGCTTTTCAAACAATAGATGTTGCATTAAGATTGTTGTTGGTACGCGTTAACGAGTCAGTTTTGACTCGTAGTGGCAGAGTTTCCAGGACCAGCTGGTAGGTTTGAAAAGCCAACCTTGCAGTTAGCAGTTCAGTACTTATCCAAGAGCATCACACCAGGAAGAATAGTAGGGACGTTTTTCCCTCTGTGATGTTAAATAAAAGAGAAAAATGTATATATAATGTTAAATAAGTGACGGAAAAGGTGAATTCTTATGTTTTCGCCCTTATTTATGGATATCCCTGTTTGTGTGAGGGTCTGTGGGATGTAAAAAAGAGCTACCTGACTCCACCATAGCAGCTACAGTGCAGCATAGACATATGGTCTGTTGGTATTGTTAGATGCCGTTGAGTCAGCGCCGACTCATTGTGACCCTATGCACAACAGAGCGAAACGTTGCTCAGCCCCACGCCAATGTCAGACTAGTTGCTAACCCTGAACCCATCGGAGCCACAACTGTCAACTGTGCTTATCAGTCTTGTTGGGGAGACTTTTGCATTTACTCCAATGCTCCATTATACCAAACATGATGTCCTCTCCAGACACTGGTCCTTCCTGATACTATGAACGAAGTATGAGAGATAAAGTCTCACCCTCTTGACTTCCAAGTAACACTCTGGCTGTACATTTTCCAAGACAGATTTGTTTGTTCTTTTGGCATTCCATGGTACTTTTAATATTCTCCTCCAACACCATAACTCAAATGCATCAATTCTTCTACAGTCTTCCTTATTCTCTGTCCAACTTTCACATGCATTCTCATATGCCTTTTGACATCTGTCATCTTGTAGTACTGTGGTCTAATGCACTGGACTGCAAGGTCGGTTTGAACCACAAGGTTGGTGGTTCAAGCTCACCAACCGATTCTTGGAAACCCTATACAGGGTCACTATGAGTTGGAACCAACTCAAGGCACTTAACAACAATAACAGGAACATCTGTTAACATGAATACTGTGGCAGAACAGGCAAAAATAATTCTTTATATTATTTAAGTTATATTGTTGTTGTGAAGTGTCGTTGAGTTGATCCCGACCCATAGCAACCCTGTATAGGGTTTCTGAGGAACAGCTGGTGAGCTTGAACCACCAAACTTGAAGTTCAAACGGCTTTGCAGTCTGGCGCATTAACCCACAGCGCCACACCAGGACATGTAAATAATGTATATTATTTCTAATATAGCAGTAATGTAGTAATGCCAAACAATCAATGCTTTGTTGCTGAGTCAATTCCAACTCATAGGAACCTTATAGGACAGTGTGAAACTGCCCCATGGCGTTTCTAAGCCTGTAATATTTACAGAAGTAAACTGTAACATCATTCTACCATGGACCTGCTGATGGGTTCAAACTGCTGACTTTTCAGATAGCAGCTGAGCACTTAACCACATCACCACCTGGGATCTTAATGTAATAGTAATACTTATTTGTTGTTGTTGTTGTTAAGTGTCATGGAGTTTGTTTCAACTCATAGTGACCCTGCATGGGGATTCCAAGGAGCAGCTGATGGGTTTGAACTGCTGACCTTGTGGTTAGCAGTCCAGTACTTATCCTAGAGTATCACACCAGGAGTCCAGTTAGTAATGGTTATTTGTTGTTGTTAAGTGCTGTCAAGTTGGTTCCAACTCACAGCAACCCAGTGGCTGGTGAGTTTGAACCGCTGACCTTGCAATTCAAACCAACCTTGAACTCAAGTGCTTATCCTATGGCGTCACACCAAGACTCCTAGTAACAGTAAACATAAATACTTGCTGAATATTATTTCAGTTGTTATAGTTACTTGTAACTGTAAACACATACACGTTAGTACTTATAGCATCTTGCTTAAAAGTAAATTACTAAAGCATTCTGTGAGTCCGGAAAAACACATGGGTGCCTACAATCACCAAGCTATTTAACAGTATCCTTGGACATGTACCCAGTGAAACTAGGTATAAAAAGAAATAAAAGCTGTAAACATTAGATAAAAGCATCACTCATTATTTACTGTTTACTTAGAATACCTAAGACAAACGATTGAAAACTGTTAGAAACATAACAAAGTTATTAATATGACTGATTAGAAAATTAATATGTAAACCCCAATAATTTTTCTATATTAAAAATAGCAATGATAAAATATAATGGATTAAAATATTCTCTCTTATAATAATAATCAAATGATTCAATTCTTATAAATTACCATGAAAAAAAAATGTGAATTACCTAAATGACAAAGAATGCAAAATTTCACAAAAAGTTATACAGAAGGTAAAAAACCTTGTTAAATAAACAAAAAAAAGAACCTCAGTCTCCTTAAAGTAACAAATAATTCAATGCAACCCCAACTAAATCCTAGCCAGAATTTGGGGGAACGAAAGGCTGGAAGAGAGCTTGAAAAATTATACGGGTTTTTGTCTGGAGACACTGGTTATTTTTAGGTGCTGCAGAGTCAATCCTGACTCATAGTGACCTTATGCACAACGTAGTGAAATACTGCCCATTCCTGTACCATCTTCACAATTGTTCCTCTTCAGCCCATTGCTGCTGTTACGGTGCCAGTTCATGTCTTAGGGGGTCTTCCTCTTTCTCGTTGACCCTCCACTTTACCAAGAGTGATGTTCTTCTCCAGGGACTGGTCCCTCCTGATGATATGTCTGAAGTATAAGAGATGAAGTCTCACCATTCTGGTTTCTAAGGAGCATTTTGACTGCACTTTTCCAACATAGATTTATTTGTTCTTTTGGCAGTTTATGGTACTTTTAATATTCTCTTCCAACACTCTAACTCAAATGCATCTATGCTTCCATGGTCTTCCTTATTTACTGTCCAACTTTCACATGTATATGATGAGGTTACTGAAAATACCATGGCTTGGGTCAGGCGCACCTTAGTCCTCAAGCTGACATCTTTGCTCTTTAACACTTCAAAGATATCTTCTGCAGCAGATTTGTCTAATGCAATATGTCGTTTGATTTCTTGACTACTGCTTCCATGAGTGTTGATCCTAGCAAAATGATGTTTTAGACAACTTCAATCTTTTCTCCATTTATCTTGATGTTATTTATTGGTCCAGTGGTGAGGAATTTTGTTTTCTTTACATTGAGGTGCAACCCATACCTAAGATTGTGGTCTTTGATCTTTATTACTGGTATTTTAAGTCCTCTTCACTTTCAGCAAGCAAGGTTGAATCATCTGCATATCACAGGTTGTTTGTTGATGAGTCTTCCTCCAATCCTGATGCCACATTCTTCTTCATGTAACCCAGTTTTTTGGATTATTTGCTTAGCATACAGGTTGAATAAGTATGGTGAAAGCATACTTATTCAAGCACAGTTTAAATTCAAGTACGATTTAAAGCCACTAAATACTTTTAAAGACATACATCTTTCCTGGTTTTAAACCATTCAGTGTCCCCTTGTTCAGTTCGAGCAACTCTAAAGGTTCTTCATGAGCACAAGTAAGTGTTCCTGAATACTTATTCTCTGCAATTTTGTCTGTAGCTTGTCATGATCCACGCTGTCAAAAGCCTTTGCATACTCAATAAAGTACAGGTAAACATCTTTCTGATACCCTCTGCACTTAGCCAAGATCCATCTGACGTCAGCAATGATATTCCTCATCTGAATCCAAGTTCAACCTCTGGTAGTTCCCTGTCAGTCTACTGTTTCAGCCATTTTAAAATTACCTTTAGCAAAATTTTACTTGCCTGTGTGATATTAATGTTATCGTCCAATGCTTTCTGCATTCCATTGTGCCACTTCTCTTGGGAATTGGCACAAATATGGATCTCTTCCAATCAGTTGGCCAGGTCACTGTCTTCCAAATTTTTGGCATAGATTAGTGATTGCCTCCAGTGCTGAATCAGTTTCTTGAAAGATTTCAATTTGTATTTCATCAATTCCCAGACCCTTGTTCTTTGCCAATGCCTTCAGTGTACCTTCTGTCAGTACCACTGGCTCTTGATCGCATGTTACCTGTTGAAATAAACATTGACCATTTCTTTTTGGTACAGTAACTCTGTATATTCCTTCCATCTTCGTTTGATGCTGTCAGTATCATTCAACATTCTGCCCATAGAATCTTTTCAATATTTCAAGTCAAGCCTTGAATTTTTTCTTCGGTCTTTTATCTTAAGAAATGCTGAGCATGTTCTTCCCTTTTGGTTTTCTAACTTCAGGTCTATGTACATTTCATTATAGTATTTGACTTTGTCTTTTTGAGCTGCCCTTTGAAATTTTCTGTTCAGCTCTTTTGCCTCCTCATTTCTTACATTTGCTTTAGCATCTCTATGCTGAGAACACGTTTCAAGGTCTCATTTGACATCTATTTTGGTCTTTTCCTTCTTTCTTGTCTTCCTAATGACCTTTTGCTTTCTTCCTGTATGGGGTTATTGATGTCATCCCCTAATTCTTGAGGTCTTTGGTCACTAGTGTCTAATGCATCCATCTGTTCTTATGATGATCTCTAAATTTAGGTGGGATATGTTCAAGGTCATATTTTGGCTCTCTTAGACATGTTTTAAATTTCTTCAGCTTCATCCTGAACTTCATCCTGAACATCAATGAGCAATTGCTGGTCTGTTGCACAGTCTGCCCCTGGCCTGGTTTAGGCTGATGATATGGAGCTTTTCCACCATCTCTTTCCACAGATTTCATAAATTTGATTCCTATGTACTCCATCTGGTGAGGTCCATGCATATAGTCATCTTTTAAGTTGTTTATGAAAGATATTTATAATGAATAAGTCATTGGTTTTGCAAAATTCTGTCATGAGATCACTAGCATCTTTCTATCACCAAGGCCATATTGCCAACTACTGATCTCTCTTTCCAATCTTTACATCCAATCACCAGTAATTATCAATACATTGATTGCATATTTGATCAATTTCATACTGTAGAAGTTGGTGGGGTTCTTCAACTTCATCATGGCTCACTTTGTGGTTCATGTATAAATTTGAGCAATAGTAGTTTTGACTGGTCTTCCTTGTAGGTGGATGGATGCTATCCAATCATAGACAGCATTATACATCAAGACAGATTTTGAAATTCTCTTTTTGGTGATGAATTTCTTTTAATGACGCAATTTCTCTTCAATTTGCCATACCTGACATAGTAAGCCATATGATTGCCAGATTCAAAATGGCTACCATTACATTTAAGCTTACTAATGCCTAGGATATCGATCTTTTTGTGTTCCATATCATTTTAGGTAACTTCCAACTTTCCTGCATTCATACTTCATACATTCCATGTTTTGGTGATTAATGGATGTGTACAGCTGTTTCTCCTCATTTTAAGTTATGCCCCACCAGCAAATGAAGGTCCCAAAAGCTGTACTCCATTCACATTATCATGGCCCACTCTAGTTTAAGGAAGCAACTCTTCCCCAGTCCTATTTTGAGTGTCTTCCAACTTGAGGGGCTCATCTTCCAGCACTATATCTGACAATATTCTGATGCTATTCATAATGTCTCAATATTCAATATTTTGGTGCTGACGGTGTTTTGCTGCTATTCATAAACTTTTCAGTGGCTAAACATTCAGAAGTAGTCCATCTCTCCTTGTTCCTAGTCTGTCTTAGTCTAAAAGCTCAGCTGAAACCTGTCCACCATGGGGAAAAAAGAGTATGAGGCAGGAACTTGATGTTAAATTATATTATAGAGCAAAGTCATTTTAAAATTAGGACCAAGAAAGACAAAAGAAATCCATTAAATACTAAAGGGGAACTTAGTGGGTGAAAAACACATTATTACAAGTCAATGGAGAAAATGAGATATTAAGCAATGCATGGCATTGGGGAATCTTCTGCTTCAGGGAAAAGTCAGCATGACAAGGTGTCTTGTCTTCAGTGATACCTTTGCAGGTGGGGGCAGGAATGGCTTGTGTGCAGCCGAGATTCCAAGACAAGGCAGGGAGAACCGAGCCAGCTCTGGGGACACAAGGTAGGAAGGCTCACCACAGACAGCTGACAGCCACCTGTTTTCCTTCCTTCCCCCAGCTCCTGGCCATCGAAGTAAACACCCCTGAGAAGTTCAGCTCCACTGCAGATGTGGTGATCCAGCTCCGAGATACCAACGACAATGTCCCCACATTCACCTCTCACTACTACATTGCCAGGATCCCCGAGAATGCTCCAGGGAACTCGAACGTGGTGGCTGTTACAGTGGGTTGATTACTGTTACAAGGTCTGGGGATGGGTAGTTATCCACAGAAGGGACAGCACAGATCCCTTGTAGTCTTGCAAAATCAAAGTCTGGGCCACATTGTAAAGCCCACTCTCATTAGCTGTAATCTTCTGCAAGCTGCTTCCCTCCTCTAAGCCTCAGCTTCTTAATCTGTAGACCGGGGACTATGATGAGGACCTTTGTTTAAACCCTAGCACAGGGTATAGGAAGCACACCTCTTCTTCCCCCATTTATAAAGCAGGAATAAATGCCTTTCCAGACCTCAATCTTTTGATTCCCCCCAACACTTGAGACCTCTTCAGGGGAACATAAAGATTCTAGGACAGGCCTCCAGATCAGCTTCCTCCCAGTTGGGCACCCCAACTTCCCCTTGTTTTACAGACAAAGCAGCCCTCACAATCTTGAGCTGCCGCTATGCCCAGACAAAAGGACAGGTACCACTGTGAGCTTTTTCTCTTTCAGGCTGTGGATCCAGACACAGGCCCCTGGGGCAAAGTCAAATATTCCATCTATGGAACTGGGTCTGAACTGTGAGTAGAGCTAGACGTACAGCCACCCAGGCTGGGGATTTGGGAGTCATGAGGGTGGAAGGATCAGAGGGAAATGCAGGAGGAAGTTGGTAGGGACTACATCCTGGGTTGCCAATGTGAGCATGGGAGTGAGGAGTGGAAGGGAACAATGGAGAGTCTGGGCAGAACTGTGGGCACACTTAGAAAGGCATTTGCAAGTGGAAGAGAGGAGAGTTATATCATTGCTGGAAGAGCACAAAAGTAAAAGATACCAGGCTGGGAGCGGCAGGCTGTGGAAAGGGTAGAAAGGCTACATTTTAGGCTATTAAAGCTCAATACTGATGGGTGAGTGAGTGGATAGGTTGTTCTGTCTTTCTCAGTCTGTCTGAAAGAATAAGGAGAGAATGGGGGAAACTTGGGGAAGCTACAACATACCTATTGTAGCTTCCAGAGGCAGCTCAGCAATGCAGACCTGTGTGTGTGTGCATGCACGCATGCATGTGTGCGTGTAAGCACATGTGTGAGGATGTGTGCACACATGTGTGCATAGGCGTGCACTACACACACCCATAAGCCTGCATGCTCAGTGCTCTGTGCCCAGCAGGTTCCTGATCCATCCCTCCTCTGGGATCATCTACACCCAGCCCTGGGCCAGCCTGGACGCCGAGACCACGGCCAGGTACAACTTCTATGTGAAGGCCGAGGATCTGGAGGGTAGATACAGCCTGGCTGAGGTGTTCATCGCTTTGCTGGATGTTAACGATCATCATCCCCAGTTCACACAGAACATCCAGGAGAAGACCATGGTGCTGGGGACCCCGTTGAAAATTGAGGTGGGCTTCAGAGATGGCTAGTTTTCTTTGGGTAGGAGTGTTCTTTCCCTTACAAGTCCTGTTTCAATGACTGCAAGAGGAATCATGGCATAAAAATGAAGCATATCAAGGTCAGCAGTTCAAAACTACCAGCTGTTCCGCGGGAGAAAGATGAGGCGTTCTGCTCCCGTAAAAATTAACAGCCTCGGAAACCCTGTACAGGGTCGCTATGAGTCGGAACCGACTCCACAGCACATAACAACCACAACAATATACATTTATACAAACATTTGCATCTTTAATTCAGAAACCCCATACAGCGTCACTGTAAGATGGAATCGACTTGTCAGCACTTAACAACTAACAACAAATATCTATATCCACATATAAGGAATCCTGGTGTTGCTGTAGGATGGTCTGCCCTCTTCTGGCCATGTAGCTGTACTAATTGCAAGGTTGGATAGTTCAAACCCACCAGCAGCTCCGTGGGAGTAAGATAAGGCTGTCTATCCAGCAAAGATTTACAGTCTCAGAAACGCTATATAGTGTCTTGATGAGTCAGAACCAACTCAGATGTAGTTGATTTGATTTGGTGGGGTTTATATTCATTTATATAAATATTTATGTATTTATATGCATATACATGATTCTTAAGGAGCTCTGGTAGCGTAATGGTTACGAATCGGGCTGCGAATCGCAAGGCCAGCAGTTTGAAACTACCAGCTGTTCCACGGGAGAAACATGAGGCTTTCTACTCCGGCAAAGATTTACAGCCTCGAAAACCCTGTACTGGGTCGCTATGAGTCGGAACCGACTCCACGGCACATAACCAACCATATGATTCTTACCATGTGAAAGGGACTTGGAGGTACTTTATATTTTACTTCACTGCCCATCCCAGAAACACCCCCTGAGAAGACATTATTGCCTTTTTACAATTGAAAGCATTGAGGTCAGACAGTTTCCTTGTAAATAGCTTCCTGCCTGCTTGCATGCCTCAGAGGCTGGTGCCTTGCCCCTCTCTCTCCATTGTTTTCCCACAGTGGAAACTCTGACACCAGATAGACTGGGCGTTGATCCCAACTCCCCCACATCTACCTTTATATCTCTGAACAACTCACATCTCCAAGTTTTCGTTTTTGCAGCTATAATACGGATTGAACAACACCTACTTCCTAGACTTGTTCTGAGAACAGACTGGGATTAATGTACATGTCCAGGTCTTGACTGGCTCAGAGGAGGGCACGCAATCCATTTCCCACCGACTCCAGAGATTCTGCCTTAGCCAATGTATGTATGGGGTACCACATACGATGGGGTCCTCAAAATCCAGCATTATCTGCCCCTCCTTGTGACAGGCCACAGACCACGATGCTGAGGAGCCCAACAATTTGGTGGACTATTCCATCACGCACGCAGAACCAGCCAACGTGTTTGATATCGATGCGCACACGGGCGAGATCCGACTGAAGAACTTCATCCGCTCCCTGGATGTCCTGCACAACATCACAGCTAGTGGCGATGGCACGTGGTCTCTGGAAGTCCAGGCCAAGGACCGCGGCTCTCCCTCCTTCAGCACCACAGCCTTGCTCAGGATTGACATCATAGACACTGAGGTGGGTGAAGAGCCCAGACAGATGCAGGTGGGGGTAGGAGTGAGAGTTGGGGGTGGGGTGTGTGGGCGTGGGCAGAGTCTAGAGGGCCAGTTTAGGCCTTTCTGCTACATGGCCAGAAGAGGGCAGACCATCCTTCCTATCGAAGAGCCTCAATGCTAGCCTATACTGGAACCACATAGGCTTCGGAGTCAGAGGACCTGGATTTGGAATCCTAGTTTGTTCAACTGTGTAACTTTGGGCTTTGCTAAGCCTCTATATCCTTTCACATAAAATAGGAAATATGCTGCCTTCTTCACACGGGTGTTGAGACAAAGACATGAAATCACTATGTATAGTTCTCAGCTCAGTAGCTGACAGGAAGCCGTTCACTTAAGGAGTTGGGAAGACAGGTTCCCCATGAAGTTAAGCAACATCTTTGGTGTCCCTGGGTGATCCAAGTGGTTAATGTGCCAACTGTTAATCAAAAGGTATGAGGTTCAAGTCCACCCAGAGGTACTTCAAAAGAAAGATCTGCTTTTGAAAAACAGCCATAAAGGCCCTATGAAGTATAGTTTTCCTCTGACAGATGGGGTCTCCATCATTCAACTGCCACTGGCTAAACCCTTGAAAGGACAATGTCCAGCGAAAGCAGACATTCTGAGTCTGACTATGGTTCTTGGCATCACATCTGTCTGTGTGCATTCTCCTGGAACATTGTCTGCAACACAGTCTCTATGCATACACTGTTTTCTGAACCCATAGTGCTCCCCAGATCTTCAAAGGGATCCTTGACCCCAGAAAATTTAGGAAACAGCAGGTCTAGTGACGCTCGGAGTCTGGTCTCTGTCTCAGGGACCAGGTGGGAACCACCGAATGCAGGGTGGGGTTCTTTCTTCCAGACGCTGTCCCGGGGCCCCATGGCGGCCTTCCTGATGCAGACCAAAGACAACCCCATGAAGGCTGTGGGCGTGCTGGCTGGTGTCATGGCCACCGTCGTGACCATAACTGTGCTCGTCTCCACCGCCACCTTTTGGCGCAACAGAAAGTCCAACAAGGTCCTGCCCGTGCGGCGTGTGCTCCGCCAGCGGCCCAGCCCTGCACCCCGCACTGTTCGCATCGAATGGCTCAAGTTCAGGAGAGCGAAAGCTGCAGCCAAGTTTATACTCAAAGAGGATGCTCCCAATGAGAACTGTAACAATAGGCTGGGAGGCTCACTGCTCCCCAAAGCTCCAGTCCCCCCACCTCTACCCAGAATAGTGCCCACCATGGGCACTGCCTCCTCGACTGTGCCTACGGTTTCTGGTTCATTGGCCCCCCAGAAGACCCAATGGTCGGCAAAGCCAAAGGCCTTGGGAAGCCCCATCCATTCATCTTTGGTTTCAGAGCTCAAGCAAAAGTTTGAAAAAAAGAGTATAGAGAAGAAGGCTTACTTCTAGAATGTGCCCTGGGTCCTCATGCCCCCACATGACTGTCCTGCTACTTGGATCTTGCTCCCCACCCTTTGTTCCTTAGGTCACCCTGTTCTATGCAGTGGTGGAACCCCACATTCAAAGCCCCAGCATCCCCTTTCTCTGGCTGTGGGATGCAGTTTTCCAGTAATTTTTGTTGCCCGGATTCTTGACGCTGTCTCAGTGCGCCTCTCTGCAGAGGCTGGGAACCAATGAGCAGCTCGCTTTTTGTGTCTGCCCTCCCAGCCCCTCAGATCCTATTGGTCAAGGAGCAGGGCTCCAGCCATCTCTGATACGGTGACAGCAGGGACCTCCAACTCTGGATCCTGGAGACTCCAGCTAAGAGCAGAGCAAGAACAGGGCCTCCGACTAGGCTAAGGTTGGAGGGCAGTGACATTTGGGAACTGGAGGAGAACTGTAGGCAGGGAGTGGGCAGTGATGCCCTAAGACCCCTGCTGGCTGCAGAACCATGCGTGGGGCTGTGAGAAGAAGACATTGGTGTTCGGTCAGAGTATAGGTCTCTGCTATGCCCAGTCGGACCAGGACATGATATAGGATGGGCTTTGTTGAAAGTGAGTGCAGACAACCTAAAGCTGCCTCAGACCCAGAAATGTCTACCTGAGAGATAACAGGAATAGCATCAGAGTCCCTCTCTGAGGGTCTACCTCACCAACAGTTCTTGAAGAGACAGTGAGGGACTATAGATGGACAACAGGACAGAGATCTGAGAGACACCATCTTCATGAGTAATCTTAGGATTGTTGTTCAAATCCCCAATCATTTTTTTCTTCAAACAAAGCAAGTCCTGTCTGCCTTGCTCATGGGTTTTGGATGAACACAGAAGAAGATAATGGTGATGAGGGTTTTAACAAATTGCAAAATGGCACAAATCTAAAATATTTTGTGAAGGTCAGTTCCCTGGGGTACAAGTCTTCCAGAAAGTATTTGCTGCCTCTCTGTGGCTCTGCTTAGCGCCCCCTGGAGGCTGGCAGGATGGGGTTAAGTACTCCTGATCACCCTCACCTCCCACCCCTGGAGCATTGTTCCATTCTTGCCCCCACATACCTTACAGCCTGGCCCACATACATACCTTACAGCCTGGCCAGCCACCAGCTATGGTTGGAGAGGACCAGTGAGGGCAGCCACAGCCAGTCCAAGCCTCTTTTTTGCTGAGATGAGAAAGATGCGTTCCCAAGAAAGGAGTGAAGTAGAACTTGGTCGGAGAGCCCTGGCTTCCTGAATCCTGAGCTTTTTTCTCCAGCTGGGACCCCCTTTATCAGCTAATGGTGGTCTCTCCAAGGAGAGAGGAAATGGAGGCCTCTATGGAGCTCTGGTAGCGTAGTGGTTACGAATCGGGCTGCGAACCTTAAGGTCAGCGGTTCGAAACTACCAGCCGCTCCGCGGGAGAAAGATGAGGCTTTCTACTCCCGTAAAGATTTACACCCTCGGAAACCCTGTACAGGGTCGCTATAGGTCGGACCCGACTCGATGACACTCAACAACAACAACAACAATGGTGGATACAGAGAAGTATTGCCCTCTAGAATATGCCAATGATTTTATTGAAAGAAATGATAACCACATGTGGTTTTCTTGATTCCTGAGTCTGGTTTTGGAGGTGTTATACAATGTGCCAGTGTACAGATCCTTGCTGGAGTCCGGTCGTCTCCCGGTCCAGAGAGTATTACATTCAAAGTAGACATTAGCAAGCCAGGAGTCCAAACAGAAGGCCTGGTTGAACATGCAGCTACTTTCCAATCTGTGCGTTAGGACAGGGCTGATTTAGATCAGGTTTGCCCTCCCCCGGGAGCACAGCCATCCTCACAACTTGCATGCAATCAAACTTTTTGGTAAATGATAAATAAAATCTATTAACTGAAGGCCAAGCTAACCTGCTCTCTGCTTGTGTTCATCTGAGCTGACTTAGCGAGACCTTTCTTCTTGACATAGCCACAGAGAACCTGCTCTTGGAACCTCTTTGGGAGATCCACCCTCAACCCCACATCAACTCTAGAAGACTAAACAACCCTTCCACATCTCTTACAGCAAGGCTCATCTACTGAGTGTGGCTATCGTAGGGCTAGATTGGGCTGTCCTGCCCAGCAGAAAAGTCTAGGATGCCTGGGGAATAATGGAGCTGGGACTGAAAACTCCCCCAACCTGGTCCAACCCTTGGGAGGAATCAGAAGGGCTGGCCTTGGCCCAGTGGTGTGGCCTCAGGGCTTGAACACTCAGATGATCAGGTGGGCACTGCAAGGAGCTGGGCTCTGACACTAGCCTAGAAGTCTGAGATAAGGCAGAGCTAAGCTTGGAGACTGGGCATCTGGGCAGCTCTAGGCATTGGAGAGTGGAGTGATAGTGCCAAGTTGGTATCATGAGACACCACGGAAAAAGGGGAGATGGTTAAACTGATGTGGTCCCATATTGGCTACATCTGCTAAGGAACCAGCAGATGTAGTTAACATGGGAGGAGGCCTCAGTTGAGCGTGCAGTAGGGTGAGGCCATGCCATGTCCTGTAATAGTAGGGAATGGTGGATGGAGGGCCTGCCTGCTCAGTCCTATGGGACAGGTCTGGACCTCAGTTGGCCCAATGTGAGGCCCATAGGTAAAGTGCTGGGGAGATGGGGTGATGGCTGGGGCTGGCTCTCCCACTCCTGGGTTCTAAGAGTGAAGCTGTATACGCTCAGAACAGTTAGCAGATGTGACTCAACACTACAGAGTCTTAGTTTTACCCTGTGCTAGGCTCGGATTCCCTACCCATACAATACCATAATGCTTTGCTGTCTAATAGCTCTAGGTCTGAATCCTCTTCTTCCACTCAAGTGTGACTTTGAGCAAAGGGCCAAGCCTCTCTGGACCTCACATTCTTCATCAATTCAGGGGGGCAAAAAATAGTTTCTATGATGGTAAAAAGAGTTATTGCATCTAAAGCACTGAGTATACGACTTGAGACACGACACAGCTCATAGACAGTTGCCATTCTTAGTTGAAAACGGGGCATCTGAGGTTGGCTGGCTACAGTTCAAATCTTGGAGCCCTCTTTCCATGTGCCTTGACTCCCCGGAGCTTTCTACCCATTAAGGGAACTAGAAGACTTCATTCGAGGAGAAGAGAGAAGAGTGAGGCAGACAAAGAAATGATGGCGGGAGGAGCAGACACCAGCCTGCATCCTGTGTTTGAGTTAGGAACTGATGAGACTGTCCAAGAGAATCTGTCCTGAAATAGATCCCCCTCAGAGCCCAGCTGGCAACGTGTGGCAAGGCTGAGGAAGATCCCTATTCTCTGCATCTGTACAGCCGTACCAAGTTCTCTGCTACTTTGGGACAATCCAAGTGCAGCTCACCGGGCATGCGTGCAGGCATCTCTTGGAATGTACTAATGTTCTTGTGATAGTGGTCAAGGGTCCTGGTTATGGAAGAATGAACAGGTGTATAGGAAGGAGACCCTTTCAGGCTGGTAGACAGGCACGTGACCACATGGAGGATGCCTTGGAAGATTCAAAGAAGTAACTAGGTATAGAGGAATTTCTCTGAAGGGTCAGGTTCCCAGAATGAGGTGGTGATGACCCGAGCCACTGTAATTTGATTAAATAAAGTGGCCTTATTTTGTAGTCACAAGTTAGCGATGTCAGAAATAAGTGTGTTGCATTGTAACATTGTACAAACGTACTTCTTGGACAGCACGAGGACCACTCAGTACTCAGTACTTTACTCAATCATTCATTTCATAATGTCTTCTGAGCACATCATCTGTGCCAATTCCTTATCAATGCGCTAGAGATACAGAAAGATGCATAAGAAAAGAAAAAAAAGAGCAAAAGTTGTCACTTAAATTGCTAATAGCAGGAGCATTGCCACGACTTCATTCTAAAAGAAGATCACCCTGCTTACAATAGGCTGGGGATCAAAGGCACATGCCTTTAAAGTGTTGTCGTTAGATGCCATCGAGTCAGCTTCGACTCATAGCGACCCTATGCACAACAGAACAAAACACTGCCCCATCCGGCTCCATCCTCAGAATCGTCCCTACACTTCAGTCCTTTGCTGCTGCCTCTGTGCCAATCCAGCTCGTTGGGTGTCTTCTTTTTTTTAACAGAACCTCCATTTTACCAAAGGAGCTCTGGTAGCGTAATGATTACAGATCCGTCTGTGAACTGCAAGGTCAGCAGTTTGAAACTACCAGCTGGTCCACAGGAGAAAGATGAGGCTTTCTGCTCCTATAAAGATTTACAGCCTTGGAAACCCTGTGTAGGGTGGCTATGAGTCGGAACCAAGTCCAGGGCACACCACCACTACCACCATTTTACCATGCATGACGTCCTTCTCCAAGGATTGGTCCCTCCGAATAATATGTCTGAAGTAAGAGAGATGAAATCTTGCCATCCTGGCTTCTAAGGAGATTTCTGGTTGTACTTCTTCCTAAAGAGATTTATTTCCAGTTCTTCTGGCAATACATAGTACTTTTAATATTCTTCTTCAACACCATAACTTAAATGTATCAATTCTTTTACAGTCTTCCTTATTCATTGTCTAACTTTCACCTGCACACAAGGCTATTGAGAAGACCCTGACTTGGGTCAGGTGCACCTTAGCCCTTAAACTGCCATTTTTACTTGTGAACACTTTGAAGAGATCGTGTGCGGCAGATTTGCCTAATGCAATATGTCATTTAATTTTTTGACTGCTACTTCCATGAGTGTTGATAGTAGATTCAAGCAAAATGAAGACGTTGACAATGAAGTAGTAATCATGATTTTATTTACGGGTCCAGTGGTGAGGATTCTTATATTTTTTACATTGAGGGGCAACCCATACTGAAGACTGTGGTCCTTGATTTTCATCAGTAAGTATTTTAAATCCTCTTTGCTTTCAGCAAGAAAGGTTGTATCATCTGCATATTGCAGGCTGTTAATGAGTCTTCCTCCAAACCTGATACCATGTTCTTCTTCATGCAATTGAGCTTGTCAGATTCTTTGCTCAGCATACAG